TAATTGCACTGGAGAAGAACATACAATTCACAGCTGCAACATTACATATGGTGGACTAGAATCAACTTGTGCATCAAGTGTTGCTGGTGTCATATGCCAAGAAAGTATATACACATATTTATTTTTTAACTTGTCTGAAACTACTTCAACAGGTGGGGTTACTTATGCTGATTGTACTACTGGTGCAGTTAGACTAGATGCACCTGCTGGTGTTCCTAAGACACAAGGAAACGTGGAGGTGTGTGTTAACAGAGCCTGGGGAAGTGTCTGTGATGATGGATGGAGTACTAATGATGCAAATGTAGTCTGTAATCAACTAGGATACTATTCATCAGGCTAGTGACTTACTTAACACTTCATATTGTATTTAATATAGCTTTAAAAATTTTTGCATAAACATGAAGCTACAAACACCTTTTAGAGCATTTTATTTTGATCAAAGACAAGTAGCTGCAATAAAGTCATATAAAACTTCTTTATTTCCATCCAATTTCCTAAAACCAATAAGCAATTAGCTATAAATAGAAAATATTTGCGCTATTTTTTATAAATGTCATCATACAACTTAAGTTTATTAAGTATTGTAATGCAAAATACCAAATAGCCTTCTATATTCCTTGTACGAATAAGTAGTAGCATTATGTCAATAAAAAATTGGAATATCATTTAGTTTAATTTTTATGACTTTGCATCAATTTATTATGTCTCATAGTTTGTTTTGTTTACATAAAATGTAGGAGCAATAGCTACATATGGCTCTCGTTATGGTCAGATTTCTGGTCAAAATCATCCTAAACCAGTCCTTGTATCTGACCTTCAGTGTACTGGCTCTGAATTAAGACTACTAGACTGCACTAGGGGAACTTACTCTGTCAAAAATTGTGGAAAGCGTAATAAAGCAGGAGTCACATGTCTAGGTATATTACTCATTCATATACTTAACAGTTTATTAGTAACGCGGTAGCGTTACTAAGTAGGATTCACCCCCAAAAAAAATGGCTGCCACGACTTTTGCAGCCTTGCTATCAGGGGCGTAGCTGAGGTAGGGCCTGAGGGGGCCTGGGCCCTACCATCAAAGTGCCCTTATAATTATACTCATTGAAATTATAACCCAAAAGATTATATTCATTGTTCTTACAATAACAAAAGGGGGTGGCTGATAACCATAGCTCTTTTTAAAGCTATATACAATGATAATTTCACTCTGATTTTGCTCAGCTTGCAGGAAAATGCCTCCATTTTGTTACGTAAAAGGAGTGTGGCCAAAATCACGGTGCGCTTTGCGCGCCATTTTGTCTCCTTGCCCTACCATCACCCAAGGTCCAGCTACGCCCCTGCTTGCTATACTGGGAAAACGAGCTCCTATGCTTACCAGACTTTATAGAGGACCTTATCTTGACCAGAGGACTCCAATGGTACAACTAGCGTGGCTCTAGACCTTGTCTAAGCGAAAATCCAAAAATCGGCGAACGGCCGTTTTGTTCAGCCATCTTTTTTCATCTTCATCATC